CAGGATTAACTGAAGCTGAGCGAGGAAAATTTTAGGTCTAAGAATAGCTGGTAGTTCTCTTGCAAAAATCGCAAAGATACTTGATATTCCAAAGTCTATAGTTCATGACACTATCAAACATTATGAGAATGCCGAAAATTTAAAAAAAAACATATAAAATGATCATCATAAATTTTGACCAGTGTTTTTTTTAACTAAAAATCATAAAAGAATGATTAAAAAACGGGATTTTTCACATAGGTTCTCCAAAACCTAAGTCACATTATGACTAGTGTTGGTTTCCAAAACTAGAGAGTTTCGCAACCGTGCGAAAGTTAAAAGATTTCGCCATAAGTCGAAACTAGTTTTGATTTTTGACTATTGACTTTTGATTTAGTTTTGACATATATAACTTTTAATTTTAGTTTTGACTTTCGCCTCTTCAAAATAGTTTTGGCAACCAACACTAGTTCAAAATCAAATTTGTAATTTGTTTGTTAAATTTTGGGACGGGATGTTTGGATTGGACGCAAAATTCTGGTTGCTAAACACGATTATATGATATAAAAATATAATATTGTTAAAACGTTATATGATTAAAACAAGAATCTTAATATAATATTAAATTCTTTGCCAATTAAAAATTTAAGAATCCACTTTAATTCTGGAACTATTGTCACCTTGACTCAACTTCGTCCATGAATACAACCAACACAGCTTCAACTTTTCCCAAATTACTATGAACTGATTTCTAAAATGAATATATAAATAAACACAAGAGCAAATTCATTGTTCATTTAATGTCAAAAAGATGAATACATACTCTGAATTTTATTAAGTTCATTATTGTCAATGGCAATAAAAAATTACTTTAATGTCAAAATCGCTTACAAGTACAAAATCCTTTTTAATGCCTGCCTTTTTAAATTAACAATTGAACGGCTCAATCGCTGTCAGTTTGGTGAAAACAAAACGATGGGTCATTTCTTCAGTTACTGGTTGTTTACTGATGTCTATATTTATACCATTATTTAAATATTTAAAAAAAAAATAAAAGATACTAAAATTAACAAAACTTTCTCAGAACGATGAAATTATTTCTGTGGAGACGTTCTAGGTTTTCTAAAACACATTCTTCCAACATGATTACATTCATTATCAATTAAGCACGCACCTCTATACTGATCCACTAAAGTGTGTTCATAATATAGATGAACTCTCATTATACTTACTTACCAGATGCAACCAATTGGAAATATTATTTAAATCGACACCAACTGAAGTTGATGATCTTTTTGAAGATGATGAAGAGTTTGACATTAAATATAATGATTGGAGTTCTGCGATGCATTCTGTAGAGATTCCGTACAACTTTCAATTTCGTACACTATTTATTTTTGTTCCGTACACTTTTTATTTTTCAATTTTTGTACGGAATTTGTAATGGAACTGTTGGTGTAATTGCAAATATAGGTCATACTCAAGATTTAGTCAGAGTTGTTTTTTGTATAAATGGTGGAATTATAGATTTAGAAATATCAAAATATACTTCAAAATTTTATCTAAATGGTTCATTTGCTTCCGGGACACAATTTCCCTTACAAAATGCTTTTGCCCTCACAACACACAAAACACAAAGTATAAGCCTTTCATCAGTTTCAATTACACTAGATTCTGAAATATTTTCCCCAGGTCGAGCGTATGTTGCACTAAGCGGATGTACTTCTTGGGAAAACCTTCAAATTATTTCATTTGATAAAAATGCAATTATAACAGATCAATCAATGATCCAAGAATACAATCGCCTAAAAGAAAAAATATCAATTCCTTTACCATTATAAACAATATTAATAATGTAATATTAGTATATTAAAACAATTATTTATTATTTAAAATCTTGCCAAATTTTTTAAAAAAATAAAATTAGAAAAAAAAATCCCGGTGACCGGCATATTCGCATACTCTAGAAATTTGGTATAATCATCTTTTTTTTTATTTCGTTCAATTATTATTATTATGTAGAGTATTTTATTGGATATTTTTCAATTTTTTAAACATAATAATATT